TTTATTTATTTATTTATGCCTCCACTGTTCTTTTTCCCTTTTTTCTGCTGTAACGTGTACATTTCCCCTCTGTGGGATCAATAAATAAAGTATAAATAACTAAAGTATTCTATTCTATTCTATGTTCAGAGGTTTTTGGAGCCAATTTTAGGGATTACAGAGTATTCTGATGGAAGATTTGAACCTTTAAAAAAATAGAAATATCTGCTACTTCCTGTAAAATTCAAATTGTAAATTAGTCTTTAAGCATTTCTAGTTTCTAGTTTTCCCAGATTTGGTCCGTTTTGGGGTTTTTTTAAAGTATAAATAACTAAAGTATTCTATTCTATTCTATTCTATTCTATTCTATGTTCAGAGGTTTTTTGGAACCAATTCTAGGAATATTCTGATGGAAGATTTGAACCTTTAAAAAAATCTAAATATCTGCTGCTTCCTGTAAAATTCAAATTGTAAATTTGTCTTTAAGCATTTCTAGTTTCTAGTTTTCCCAGATTTGGTCCGTTTTTTTTTTTTTTTTTAAGTATAAATAACTAAAGTATTCTATTCTATTCTATTCTCTTCTATGTTCAGAGGTTTTTGGAACCAATTCTAGGAATATTCTGATGGAAGATTTTAACCTTTAAAAAATCGAAATATCTGCTACTTCCTGTAAAATAGTAAATTTGTTTTTAAGCATTTCTAGTTTCTAGTTTTCCCAGATTTGGTCCGTTTTGGGTTTTTTTTTTAAGTATAAATAACTAAAGTGTTCTATTCTACTCTATGTTCAGAGGTTTTTGGAACCAATTCTAGGAATTACAGAGTATTCTGATGGAAGATTTGAACCTTTAAAAAAATCTAAATATCTGCTACTTCCTGTAAAATTAAAATTGTAAATGAGTTTTTAAGCTTTTTTAGTTTCTATTTTTCCCAGATTTGGTCCGTTTTGGGTTTTTTTTTGCACCTTCGTCGCACTCGGAGTCCTCCAGGCAGAAACTGGCTTTGTGTCCCTCGGCCACTTTGGTTCCGTTGAGGCTGAACAGGTCGTAGATGGTGAACACGTCCATGCTGTGGTAATGCCTGGAAACAGGGAAGAGGGCTTTTATTGTGAAGAGGCAGAAGCAGAATTCAGAGCTTTTATTGTGAAGAGGCAGAAGCAGAACAGGGACAGATGGGTTTAGGGTCACCAGCTCCTCCCCCCATCCCTCCATCCATCCCTCCATCTATCCATCCCTCAGCTTTTGTTTTGAAGGGGAAGGAGGGGAATTCAGAGCTTTTATTGTGAAGAGGCAGAAGCAGAATTCAAAGCTTTTGTTTTGGAGAGGAAGGAGGGGAATTCAGAGCTTTTATTGTGAAGAGGCAGAAGCAGAACAGGGACAGATGGGTTTAGGGTCACCAGATCCTCACTCCATCCCTCCATCTATCCCTCACTCAGCTTTTGTTTTGAAGGGGAAGGAGGGGAATTCAAAGCTTTTGTTTTGAAGAAAAAGGAGGGGAATTGAGAGCTTTTGTTTTGAAGAGGCAAAAGCAGAATTCAGAGCTTTAGTTGTGAAGAGGCAGGAAGGGAATTCATAGCTTTTGTTTTGAAGAGGAAGGAGGGGATTTCAAAGCTTTTATTGTGAAGAGGCAGAAGCAGAATTCAAAGCTTTTGTTGTCAAAAGGGCAGAGTTCAGAGCTTTTATTGTGAAAATGGCAGAGTTTAGAGCTTTTGAAGAGGAAGGAGCAGAATTCAGAGCTTTTGTTTTGAAGAGGAAGGAGGGGAATTCAGAGCTTTTGTTTTGAAGAGGAAGGAGCAGAATTCAGAGCTTTGTTTCGAAGAGGAAGGAGGGAAATCCAGAGCTTTTATTGCGAAGAGGTATAAGCAGAATTCCCAGCTTTTGTTTTGAAGAGACAGATGCAGAATTGACAGCTTTTGTTTTGGAGAGGAAGGAGGGGAATTCAGAGCTTTTGTTTTGAAGAGGCAGGAGGGGAATTCAGAGCTTTTGTTTTGAAGAGCCAGAAGTAGACTTCAGAGCTTTTGTTTTGAAGAGCCAGAGCCAGAATTCTGAGCCTTTATTGTGAAAAGGGCAGAATTCGAAGCTTTTGTTTTGAAGAGGGCCGAGTTCAGAGCCTTTATTGTGAATAGGCAGAGTTCAGAACTTTTATTGTGAAAAGGGCAGCGTTCAGAGCCTTTATTGTGAAAAAGGCAGAGTTTAGAGCTTTTGTTGTGAAAAAGGCAGAGTTTAGAGCTTTTATTGTGAAAAGGGCAGCGTTCAGAGCTTTTAATGTGAAAATGGCAGCGTTCAGAGCTTTTAATGTGAAAAGGACAGAGTTCAGAGCTTTTGTTTTGAAGAGACAAAAGCAGAATTAAAAGCTTTTGTTTTGAAGAGCCAGGAGGGGAATTCAGAGCTTTTGTTTTGAAGAGGAAGGAGCAGAGTTCAGAGCGTTTATTGTGAAAAGGGCAGAGTTCACAGCCTTTATTGTGAATAGGCAGAGTTTAGAGCCTTTATAGTGAAGAGGCAGCGTTCAGAGCCTTTATTGTGAAGTTAAGAGCTTTTATTGTGAAAACGGACAGACTTCAGAGCTTTTATTGTGAAGGCGGGGTGCGGGGCCCACCTGTGGCAGTCGTGCCAGACCCAGGCGTTCCGGTCGGCTTTGGGCCTGAAGTCGGACTGCCCGTTGTTGTGGATCTGGGAGGAGAAACGCAGTAGGCGCCTGTGGGCCCCGGTGGGGGCCCCGGGGAGGGAAGCCCCGCCCACTCCGGGGGGGGAAGCCCCGCCCACCCCGGGGGGGGCGGAGCTTGAGGACAGGCAGTTCTCCTCGTAGGCGCAGGTGAGCAGGAACAGGGGCCGGTCCTCCATGTAGGTGGTCTGCTCCACAACCTGGGGGTTCAGGACCAGGTCCGGGGCGGCTGTAAATAAACATTTATTTATTTATTTACGTTGTTTATGGTAATTAACGTGACGTTAGCCTTGAGTTGCTAGCTGCGGCTAATAGCTAATAATAATAAGATAACATCGGTAACAGGTTTTAAACCAAAGACAGATCTATCTATCTATCTATCTATCTATCTATCTATCTATCTATCTATCTATCTATCTATCTATCTATCTGATTAATTTATTTACGTTGTTTATGATCATTAACGTGACGTTAGCCTTGACTTGTTAGCTGCGGCTAATGGCTAATAACATGATAACATCAGTAACAGGTCAGTTTGAAACCAAAGACCTGATGAAGTCCAGGTACATTTTGGGTTTTTTGTTTCTATTTATTTATTTATTTATTTACGTTGTTTATGGTAATTAACGTGACGTTAGCCTTGAGTTGCTAGCTGCGGCTAATGGCTAATAACAACACGCCAACATTAATGTGGCCACCAGCCACCATAACATCAGTAAAGACACTAACCTGACGAAGTTCAGTTACATTTTGGGGTCTTTGTTGTTATTTATTTATTTATTTATTTTAGTTATTTATGATCATTAACGTGACGTTAGCCTTGAGTTGCTAGCTGCGGCTAATAGCTAATAATAATACGATAACATCGGTAACAGGTTTGAAACCAAAGACACTAACCTGACGAAGTCCAGGTAAATTTGGGGGTTTTTGTTTCTATTTATTTATTTATTTACGTTGTTTATGATCATTAACGTGACGTTAGCCTTGAGTTGCTAGCTGCGGCTAATGGCCAATAAAAACACAATAACATCAGTAAAGGGGTTTTAAACCAAAGACAGTAACATGTCAAAGTCCAGGTAAATTTTGGGGTCTTTGTTTTTATTTATTTATTTATTTATTTTACGTTATTTATGATCATTAACGTGACGTTAGCCTTGAGTTGCTAGCTGCGGCTAATGGCTAATGGCTAATAACAACACAATAAAATCGGTAACAGGTTTTAAACCAAAGACAGTAACATGTCAAAGTCCAGGTAAATTTTGGGGTCTTTGTTTTTATTTATTTATTTATTTATTTATTTATTTATTTACGTTGTTTATGATCATTAACGTGAAGTTAGCCTTGAGTTGCTAGCTGCGGCTAATGGCTAATAAAAACACAATAACATCAGTAAAGGGGTTTTAAACCAAAGACAGTAACATGTCAAAGTCCAGGTAAATTTTGGGGTCTTTGTTTTTATTTATTTATTTATTTACGTTGTTTATGATCATTAACGTGGCGTTAGCCTTGAGTTGCTAGCTGCGGCTAATGGCTAATAATAATACGATAACATCGGTAACAAGTTTGAAACCAAAGACACTAACCTGACCAAGTCCAGGTGAATTTTGGGGTTTTTGTTTCTATTTATTTATTTATTTATTTACGTTGTTTATGGTAA